GTTGTGGGGAGAAAGTTTTCATCTCAAAACCTTTCTTAATGTTTCTCTTTGAAGGATGTTTATGTTTTTTTAAGGTAACAGAATGATTTCTCCAAACATTAGAACATTTTACGCGACAGTCATTTCTTTTTTTACATTTGACATTAAAGATTCTGAGTCTTTCTTTCTGATATTGGTTTTCAGAAACGACTGTTCCTTGTCGTAACAAACAATCTTCTTTTGTTTTTTTTTTTTAAATTCCTTTTCGCGAGTTACACAAAGCTAAAAGAACATTTCTTTTTACTGTGTAATTTGCTAAAAAATAATTGCTACTGAGTCAAAGTTTACGATAGCTTAGCTGATGACATCTGGAAGGGGAGGAATAGGGCTGCTTTTTAGAGAAAGAACTTTTTCTTCGCCCTCTATTGTAATTTCTGACTAATTTGCATTTTGGTTCAATCTCAGTGAACAATTAGGGACAAAAACAGCTAATAATGAAAGTTAGAGTGCAAAACGGTGATGAAATTTGAGATGGCGTATGTGCTAAAATAGTTGCACTACAGTTGTAAGATTATTTTTACTTTCTGCTACAGCATAGTCTCCGGAATCAGCTAAACGTATTTCGTGAATTAACTTTTCATGCGTAACGCTAAAAAATTTGTCTTTTTATTCCAAAACAGTTGCACTGTACCTCTTTTTTAGCATTTCTACTCGAAGATATCTTCGGAACATGTACCCAATTTCTGCAGTTTTATATTTTGGTTAGCGAAACTATATTACGGAGATGGCAAAAGTAAATTTTTACCAGGAACTTATTTAGTAAGAGTGCAGAGGAACTGGAGGATAATAAACAGTTGAATTAGCACTCAACTAGACATCATATAATTTTTGGGCAGCTGTATTATAAAGTTGTCCTGTTTAAAAAGGACTGGCAGCCGCGGAACAGGTGTTATTAAAACTTCTTAAAAACTTTTATACATCATTATTTTGAAAAGTGCAAAACAAGTTAAAATTCCATGACTGTTTTCTTTTTCTGTTCACATTCTTCTCTTAATTTCACAGTGACTTCCTGTTCCTTAGTGGTAGGAACCGCTTGTGAAATCGAGAAAAATCCAATTTAAAGAGGAGGAATTTTGTGAGAGAGTGCGGCAACCTTGTTCAGATGTTGGAGCAACTGATTAAACAACAGACAATTGGAAAGACCATGGGATGGAACCATTAGGCACTAGACAGTTAGGAAAATGACGGTCAACAATTATGTTACTGGTTTTTCTTTATTCTTGTTTTTTTTTTTAGTGTTTGACTTTTTCGGTTTAATATTTTTTTTGTTAAAATGTTCCGGAAAGGTTGTCTTTTTCGTCATTGCCAGTTGCTGACCAGCTGTCAAGTGCACTGTTTAGTTGCGTGATAGACTACAGGTAAATTATCAATATTAACTGGATTTGT